GCAGCCACTGCACTCCAGTCTGGGTGACAGAGTGAGACTCCAACTCCAAAAAAAAAGAAAGGGACTTCAGGAAAGAACTGAAGATGAAGGTCACAGGAACCCAAGAATCCTCATTTCGAGTCTGAGTGTCTTTACATAGAAACATGGGAGGAACAAAGGCTGGTTTCTAAGATTAAAACTAGCATTTTTTGTAGGTTGAAGAGGCAACAGGCCCTACGCTAAGAACATCCCAAGGAGGTCTCAGTTGGTTCTACAACAACACATAGAGGTAAGTGCTATGATTATCCCCTTAAGGAAGCAGACATTTAGAATCACTTAAAGTTTACTTCTCAATTAAGCCACAACTCAAACTCAGGTGATTCTGGTTTTCAAACCAAAGTTATGACTATTAATCTCTACTGCTTTTAGAATGTATTTGAATTATTCACAGAGTTCCAGAAAGGAGAGGGGGAAAAAACCCCAGTAATATCAGTCTATGAATAGGTACAAAAATATAATATTATCCTTAAAAAGTGAAGGATAACTTAGATTCTGAAAGGCACTGCTAAACAACAGAGTATTTATAATTATATAGATTAACGGTATCAGTGAGTAACACGATTGAACCAGTATCAGTGAGTAACACGATTGGAGGCAAGATAAAGAAAGACAATTTTTAGTTGCCTCTAGAAGTATGTTTTGTATTAGTGCTCCTTAGCTCTGACTCACTGGAGAGTTGATGGCAAATTAGTTTAATTACATTCTTAACAGTAATTACATTTTCAATTGTAAGGTAAATTGGTTGTTGTAATTTGTATGATATACAAAAACTTGAGCTTCTAAATGAGTTTGTTAAAATTAGGGTCACTGAGAAGATTTCAGTGTGGTATTTTATTTATCTCCCAACCCACCTCTGGGTTTTGTTCTCAGTATAAGAAAGAATAGTTTCCACTGGAACTAACCCAATGTGAAAATTGAGTTAAACATTAATGGCCTAGCTTTTCTCTTACAGAGCACTCGGAGAAAACTCTTCCTCTCTATGGGGACCTCCTTTGGCTGAGTCATAAATAACAGGAAGAAACAAGCAACAGGTAGAATGTGAGGATATGGAGGGTATCATGATAGTTTGCTCCACACAGCACAAAAACTCTGAATGGGCCCATAAAAATCTGTGTAAAACCATCTCATTATACAGCTCAGGAGACTGAAACCAAAACAGTAAGTAACTTGTGGAAGACTAGACCCAAGATTTCTGACCCCCAGACTTGCCTACCTCCAATCCACCCCTCACACCTGCCCAGGAGCATTTTCTATACCCAGGTCTAATTCTACTGCTCCAAAAGCCACTTGTGTTCTGACCTGTGCTCCCTTTCTGGGCCATTTCCTGCCACTGTCTGCTGCAGACACACTGAATGTCAAACACTCACAGCTCTCATCAAGCCTTGGTACTTCACACACTGTTCCTTCTTCCTGGAAATGTTCCCTTTAATAAGATCCAATTTATCCTTTAAAACTTCTCCTTGAAGTTTTCCTGAGGAAGATGCTAGATTCTTACTCTGTGGTGGCCTTTGTTATTTTTTTCCTTATTGACAGGTATATCTCCTTTACTGAGCATGACTTCCTTGAAAGCAAGAACTATGTTTTATTCAGCTTTCTATTCACACTGTCTGGGGAACTGTTTGGCTTATAAAAAGTGCTCAGTGTTTAGTAAATGACAGAATAAATAAGTAAATGGATAAATGGATAGATGAGTGAGTGCATGGATGGATGGGTAGATGGAAAAATGGATGGATGAATGGTTGAATAATGGATGAATAGATGGATGGATGAGTTGGTGAATAGGTAAATGGATAGGTGGATGGATGAAAAATGGATGGATAATGGCGGATAGGTGGACAGATAGATAGATGGATAACTAATAGATGAGTGGATTGATTTTAACTTTGCTGTTCTCTCACTGTATTTCCGTTACAGAAAGAGACAGATAAGGGTTAGGGGATTAAAAGTAAACTATTCAGTCAATATCTCATAAATAATATCCTAAGTCAAGAAAAGACAGATAATTCCATCCCCTTCCCTGTGGAAGGGCTGTTTATTCAGCTGCTTATTCCATTAGGGGGCGCTGTAAGTCCACACTAACCTGCCTCTTTTTATAAGACTTACTATTTTTCAAATATTTCCTTCTCTTTAAGACAGGAAAGATTAAAAATCACAGAACCAGTAATAGGTCTAACTTTAGAAGAAATAAAGTCAAAGAACCTTAAATTCATTTTTACTTAAAAATATCATTTTTATTAGCAATAACTGCAGAATTTTGACAGTTATAAAGCCAAATTCGGTTTTGAGTTTCAAATTTTCATTCTACTTCTGTCTTTTATTAACAGAAACAATTGATTCTTTTTGTATTTGAAATTTTAATTAAACCATTTATTTGAACATCATTTTGGTTCTATGTTGATTGTCAATAAATTTAAATATAAAACATTTTGAAATACAGCAGTCACTTTAAGGTGCCCATACCAGTGTCTGCTACTCCATGACGTGGCAGGAATTTTAACATGGAGATTGTCACATTCAGTACAACTTCAGAAACCTGGGAGAAAATTGGGTTGAGTGGCAGCCAATCTAAATCTTCCAGGGATGTTAAGGAACTAGAACCAAAACAAACAAAAAAGCAGTATGAGTTGGTAGCTAGCAAAACAAGTAGCATGAATTCTAGGTTTACTTACATACCATGGATTGGACCCTATCCCTGTTACAAGATGTGGTTGGATGATTTACACATCATCATTCTTGATGTCCCTTTAATGTGACTCAAACTCCCTGGACTAGGGACTAAACATAAGAGGCAAGTCTTCCTCTTGAAACGCATGAGAACTCTGGGCATCTCTCACTCTGTCTTTGACAGAGAACTGGAATTTGGGTTGGCTCTAACCATAGTGCTGTCTTATGCTCAGCCTTGGTTCTTCTGCCTTACTAGGGCAGCCAGTGAAGCCAGTCAGAGCACAAAGTGCTGCAATCTTAGAAATACAAATGAACACTCAGCTTGGTTGCTTGAAATTCAGATAATCAGTCTAATATTTAGAGGGCGGCCTATTGCAATGCCATGTGTCTTAATCCATAGGCCCTTGATATGTCAAGGGTCCAATCAGTAGTTTTCAAACTGTTTCACAGTAACTATTTCACAAGGGAGGGTGAGTCCACTTGTACACAGCATTCATTTTATTTTTAAAAATCAATCTTTTAATTTATAAATAAATAAACTTATAGACTAGAAAATATACTGAACTGAAGTTAGAATTTATGAACTTATCTGTACTTTCACAATGTGAGACCTAACATAACAATAAGCTGTGTTTCCAAATAGGTTGTTTTCTTGTAGCTGCTCATTAAGGAAAATCTCTCATGCCATCTTTGTGTCTTGAAGATACACACTTTGTGTCTACAAGATACATCACTGAAAACTGGCACCATTTGCAAATACTTATCTCTATGAATGCAGATTTTCTTGATATGATACAGCGTTGTGCCACTGAAGCACAAAATACAGAAATAAAATTTATGCTGAAGCTTATATGGTCCAACAACCATCATTAGTATCTTCTAATTTCACATTTTGCCTCTGTCAAAATAGCCTCCTATTATTCCCTGCTAACATATTCAGGGTTCAGGGCAAGAATACAAAAGGAGACACACCAATCTGTATTCAAATACTTAAGTTATATGAGAGGGTACCCCCAAAACACAAAATTATCTTTTGGAGGGTGTCCCCCTGGCAGTATAGACTTCTGCCGCTAGGTAGGTGTTCTAAGAACCCATTGGCACCAGTATACCAGCTAACTTTGTTGTGAGAGGCTGTGTTTGGCTTCAGTCCATTTATGTAAAATATAAATATAAAATATACATATATATTCTTTCAATGCATTTGCCCATTTAATGATTGGTGATTTACGAGTATATCTGCCCACACTGTGCTGTGTTCAGCAATTTTTGACCAAAAACAGCATAACCCCTGTGTGCCACCCTCCCTATTCACCCATCTTACCCCAAGTTAATTTTTGTTTTAAGATTTTAAAAGTCCTTAAAGGAAAGCATTTGGTCAATGTGGAAGAGGTAACACAAAAAAATGGCAGAATAACAAAACGGCATTAGAATTGATGAGTTCAAAAACTGTTTTGAGCGGTGGAAAAGCATCTCGGTAAGCATATTGTATCCAACAGAAAGTACTTTGAAGGTGGCTGAAGTTTAAACATGTAAGAATAAATACACAATTATTTATAAATAACTCCCATTTTGGGGGGTCCCCCCTTGTAAATCAAGCCAGCACATCATCAAAATATGTTCCATTTTCCAACATTGACAAATGTGACATCATAACAACATGGAAAGCCACACTCAAATTTAGTTTTCTATTTCTCAGAGTTGCGCACCAGAATGTAGGGTTTTGGGGAGCATACACCTCTGGCCCCAACTCTCAGTCCACCCCTTCCCCACTGGCTTCCCACCCGCAGCTCAGTCTGTACCATATGGGGTCTTGGTGCCCATGTGTGGGTCCTCCAGCCTACACAGACAAGCAGCACCCTTGCCCTCCACTCCACAATCCTACCAATGAGTGCAGCATCCCTGGACCACCTTTGGGCTGAGGGATGCACATGTCAGTAGTAAGACCTGCCCTTAGAGAGAGGAACTGGGGAAGAGCCCCACATGGGCTCTGGAAGTAGACTCTAGCCATTGTAGTAGAGTTGCAGGTTGAGAGGGAATCAGAGGGGCTTGGACTCTGTGGACACATCTCCTTAGCCCTCATGGGCTTACTGAACCATGAACAGAGGTTCATCCTGGAAAGGACAGAGTGGGGACTTCCCAAGTACAGGGAAGGACAGGGGTCCCCTCTCATCTTAAGGGGAATGTGGGTTATGCTCACTGGTGGCAAATAAGTAAAAAATCTGAAAAGAATATAAACTTTAGTTACAAATAAAATACCACAGTCAAAGAATTGGTTTACCCCAAAGAATTCATTTTTTATAAAAAGAATATGCTGATTAAAACATGGGAAATCCACCATGGGAAAGGATGCCCCCAAAAGTAAGCCCCAGATAATGTGGAGGTCAGATCCATCACAAAAGACCAATGTCCAACTCACTGAATTATACAACTGACATAAAAGAGATTTACTATAATACTATAAGAAAGGGATTAGCAGTAGCTGGAAACTGCCAGGGGAGGGTGGAGGGAGTACATAACATCAGATAGGGTATCTGATCTCAAACCAAGCAAAGCGGTGACCAAAGGGAGGCCCAAACTTTACCTGTACAAAGACCACTCATATACCTAATCCTGAATTGTACCCCACATCTTTAAAATAAATTAATTAATTTTTTTAAAAAAAGAAACAACAGAGCTTATCAGTTCTGGATGCTACTTTGGCAACTGTGGCATAATTTATTAAGAAATTATATAAAATCATTATATTCATGTCACTTCTTTAATAATTAAAAACCTAGAAACAACCAAAATGTCAGTGCTTAAATTCTTAAGTAAATTATAGTGTGCAGTACTTGACGCTAATGGAATAGCGTGCAGTCATTAACAGTGATCCCTTGTAGACTACAGCAACATTTAAAGTGCTAACGATGCAATGTTAACTTTTTTAAATCAGGGAGATATGCTCTGAATAACTCTACTGCTCCCATGTAAAATATGTACAAACACAGATGAGAGACAGACATGGAGGTGCAGGAGTGTACGTCGTTTCAAGGTGACATTATTGTGGTGTTGCTTTTTTATTACACTATTACTCAGTAATTTTTATTTCCCATCAAAAAAATGAGGAGAAAAAGCTCACACACCTATAATTAGTAACATTTTTCTTCTCACTTACTTCAAAACCGCCTGGAGAAAGTGAACTATAGCACGCATGCCGTCTTCCACATGAACAATGTTTGTGTGCAGTCTAGGCAGCGAAAGTAGAAAATCCCAGAAATGAGGCTGCTGATGGAGGCTTTCCAATTTTAATATGACATCTTCAGTCTTATTGAGATTCATCTGAGAGGAAAAAAATCCAAAACTTTCCCACTGTGGTTTTAGTAATCAATGAAATGAGAGAGAGACAGGATGCTCAAAGGTGCAGAACATAAACATTCTCCTGGTAGAAACTCACGCTTAATATGTCACCATGTTAAAATTATTCTTTCAGCCTGGATTTTTTTATTTTATTTTATTTTTTTTTTTTTTTTTTTTTTGAGTTGGAGTCTCACTCTGTCGCCCAGACTGGAGTGCAGTGACCGCTCCCGGCCACCGCAGCCTCGACCTGCTGGGCTCCGGCAATCCTTCTGCTTCAGCCTTCCGAGTAGCCAGAATTACAGGCATGCGCTACGCACCCGGCTGATTTTTTGATTTATTGTAGAGATGAGGTCTTGCCTGCCCAGGCGGGTCTCGAACCCGCGTTTTGAAACTACACACAAGAGAAAGGAGGAAGAGAAGGCCTGTTTTGTAACAAGCTGTACCAATATCCAAGACTTTTGAAGCTACAAGGTTTTTGTAATGGATCTTGAATAAGAATATAATGATCTGTTCTTTATAAGGAAATGGAACCAGAAAAGAATTTGATTAAAATATGAACAAGATTGGAATGCCTTCTGTGATTTGGGGTTTTTCTGTTATTGCAGCCAAACCCAGCCATAACTGATATACACTGCAAATAATTGAATACTATGCTTCCTCCACATAAAACACACTTTCCCCCCACTCCTGCTACACCACCATCTCCAGTGAGCTGTTTTTGATGGTACAATCCATGAACTGTTAGCCTAGAAGCAATTAATGCAAAATTATGGCTATAAATGGGTATTTGGTACAGTCATGGAACAATAAACTGCAGACCACATTTCTTTATGGTTCCCTCAAGTTGTGCTTAAAAAAATAAGACCCAAGAGAAAGCAGTCAAGATACTCATCCTAACAGGCAGAAGGCAGCTTTCTTCCTAGAAAACAGGGAAGGAAAAGTGATAACAACATCCATTTTCATTAAAGCCATAACACAATTGCTTTAAAAACTAGCAGCATATGCATATAAAGAAAGATTTGTACACTGGCAGTACTAAAAGGAATATGAAAAGGCTACATCGGAAAATGGAAAGAAAGCTCAATATTTCACTGAGCATCGGTGGCTTGGTCAGAAGGCACCCATTTGCACCTGGCATGTGACGCAGGCCTTCCAGTTTCCCCGGATACCTAAGTCTTTCACACTACATGCTAAGAATGGCAAAGAGGAAAAATAAAAGGAACATGGGTCTCCAGCATCCTGCTAAGCTACTACACTCTCCCTGGGTGGACAAATACCCAGACATTGCACGACGTCTCACCAAGAAGCACCCCACATTGGGTTCCAAGTTCTGCAGTTTCTGGCTTTCTTCTCTCCACTTAGTTCCCATTCTTCAATAAAGCTGAGTTCAGTGTATTGCACTGTTCAGAGAAATTATACTATTTACCCTTCATGTGGAACAGTGGTTTGTTTGTTTTTTTTGTTTTTTTTTTTTGAGTTGGAGTCTCACTCTGTCGTCCAGACTGGAGTGCAGTGGACGCTCCCGGCCACCGCAGCCTCGGCCTGCTGGGCTCCAGCGATCCTTCCGCCTCAGCCTTCCGAGTAGCCGGAATTACAGGCATGCGCCACCACACCCAGCTGATTTTTTGATTTATTGTAGAGATGAGGTCTCACTGCCCAGGCGGGTCTCGAACCCGCGGGCTCAGGCAATTCACTCACCTCAGCCTCCCAAAGGCGCGGGATTACAGGCTGAGCCACCGAGCCCGGCATGGTTTGTTTTTTTAAGTGCTCTAAAGCTCCAGTTATTCTACATGAGACATGTTCCTTTTGCTTCACATCACCCTCTGTAGGGATGAAGAGGGAGTCCCAGAAGTTAACAAGGTCTGGGAAGCTTCCAGAACCACCTCCTGCCATTTGTGGAGGATTCTGTCTTCCAAGACACTGCCACGCTCTTCAACAAGACTCCTGCCACAATTCTCCGTGATTTCAACACCTAATGATCCTTGCTTCTGTTCCTTGACCTCCCCTTCAATCCAATGATATTTTCTTCCACTTGCACGAATCACCCATTTTCGTGGTCAGAATCTTGACCTTTTCATTACCAACAGCTGCAAGTTCATGCACCTTACTCTCCAATGGCCAACCTTACTTCTGTCTCCAGTTCCCCAACCCTAACGACTCCTTGGCCCTCCTACCCACATCCCCGTCTGCCAACACCCCTTTCTTGTCCCCACTGCCCTCACGTCTCTGGCCTATCCCTAGACAATCTTTCTCTTGAATACCCACTCAACTCTCTTCTCTTCTTGTACTTTATTATACCCTCCTTTTATTATACCTTTCTGCCAAAAAAGAAAAAAAAATTCTTCCGCAAACTCAGCTCTGCCTAAAGCACACCCTCATTCATAAAGCTGAATATGCTTGTAGAAAAATGCACAATGATATTGACTCTTTCTACATCGCGTTCATGACTACATACCTTAAGTGCACAGTTTAGTGTTGCCTTATTGAACCATGATATATTATCCTGGTTCATGTTCTTCCCCTTTCCCCTAGCCAGATCCTCCAGACCTTTCTTCTCTCCAGACCTTCAGACTCTTTGTCCCTCATCATCACTCTTATCTGCCTACTTGCTTCGTATTTCTCCTAGAAATAGAAGCAAAGAGAATTTCCTCCCACTCCCACACCAGGCCTACCTGTCTACCTATACCGGGCTTGTATGCTGAGCTCACCCATGCCCTGCTGTTCCCACCTTAGACTAGCCTCAGCCTAGACTCAACTTTCCTGCCCTCAAGAGCATCATTCAGAACTCCCTTTCTTTTTTCTTCTCTACCATTCCTATCAGTGTGTCATTACCTATCATCTTCAAAAACACAACACATCCCCGCCATAAATGCATAACCCCCAATCCAATCATGAACAGACATCAGAAAACCCCAAAACTGAAGTGACCTCTTCCAAAATCTGTATGAAATAAAGACTGTGTCCTGAGTTCTGCTCTTGCCAGTTCTGACCTCCACCTAGTTGCCATTACAGATAGGAAAGCTCAGTGCAACACATGATGCAGGATTTTCTTTTGCTCTTCAGGACATTATGAGGACAATTGGTAAATCTGGAAAAAGACCATGGATTCAATAATTCTACTGTATTAGTGTTAACTTCCTGATGTGAATAATTATACTGTGTTTATGTATGAGGGCAGCCTTGTTTTTAGAATGTACACACTGAAGTACCATCTGCTGTTCATATCCATGGGTTCTGCATCCATGGATTCAAACAGCCATGAATGGATGATAGGGGGAAAAAATAGATGATTGTGCTGTGCTGAACATACATAAACTTTTTTCTTGCCATTATTTCCTAATTAATGCAGTATAACAACTATGTACATAGCATTTACATTGCATTGGGTACTACAATCTAGAACTTATTTAAAGTAATTGGGAGGATATGCATAGATTACTACACCATCTTATATCAGGGACTTGAGCATCTGTTCCTTATATAAAGGGTATTTGAAGGGAGTCCTGGAACCAATCCCCTGTGGATATGCAGGCATGACTATACTTAGGAATAAAGGGGCATCCTGCCTACAACTTACTCTTAGATCGGCATAAATATGATACAGACATAAATACCTATAGAGAGAGAAAGTAATAAAATAAATATATTTGAAATGCTATCATTTGAAGACTAGGTAAAGGATATGCAATACTACTCTTACAATTAGCTTTTGTAAGTTTGAAATCATGTCAAAAATAAAAAGTTAACAAAACCTATCATTTAAAGTAACTGCAAACTCTTAAAAGTAAAAAAGAAAGGGAAGAAGGAAAAAGAAAGGAGGGAAGAAAGAAAAGAAGGGAGGAAAGGAACAAGCAAGAAAACAAGAAAAAGAAAGAAAGTCCACATCTTCTGTCCTGGTTTTGGTTCCCCTGAAACAAGGATTTGTGTGCAGGTGGCTTGTTCAGGGAGAGTTGAGAGAATAGGGAGAATGAGACAGAAAAGAAGGAAATGTCAATGTATATCGAGGTCCCATGTAGACCATGCTGCTTTGAACTGCCTCAGCCTCTCAAAATCTCACAGTGTTGCCCAAAGATGACCCACTGTGGGAGATAGGGGACCAACCTTTCCCAGTTGCCTGGGACTGAGGAGTTTTCTGGGACAAAGGATGTTTTCTCAGTCCAAGGCAACTTGAGTCCAGTGGTCACCCCAATTTGGGGCTGCTCTGGGGTATTAGCTTCTCTGCCCTCTCAGGCTGAGTTTTCTTCAGAGGAGTAGATGCAGAAAGCAAAATGCTGTCAGTATGGGCTTGACATGGGACACTGTGACTAGTAGTCTGAGCTCTCAGGGAACTGTCCATCTTCACTGGGAAGAAATTAGGAAGTTAGCAGGGTGGGAAGCGGCTTCCACCCCATGTCTTCGTTCTTTTCACAGCATGCTGCTTGAGTGGTATATGCTCCCTGTCTCTGCATACCCTCCCCCACTTCCTTAAACCTGCTCCAGTCAGGCTTTTGCCCTTATACTCCATTAAGCCTTTCTTGTCAACATCACCAATCACCTCTGCACTGTTACTTCCAGTGGCACTTCTCCATCCACTTCTTACTTGATCCATCAGGGGCATTGAGACAGTGGATCATTTGCATCTTCTTGAAAATAGATTCCCTGGGGTCCATAATGCCCACCTTCTCATCTTCCTCCTCCATGCCTTGACACTTTTTCTCAAATGCCAGTGCTCGGCGCTCAGCCCACTTTCTCGTCACTGTCAACATTCTCTCCCTTGTTGAAGAGTCATGTATGCACCAGCACCTTCAAAATGTATATATCCAGCCAAGATGTTTACCTGAACTCCAGATGGATACTTCGCACAGCCTCCTTGGCAATGCCACTTGGATATCTCATTCACATGCCCAAAATCAATCCCTTGTTTTCCCCTTCACTCTACTCTCCTCCCACTCCCCAAGTAAAACCTGTCCTAATCTTCTCTGACTCAGTAAATGGCCACTTCATATTTCCAATTGCTGAGGTCAAACTTCTTAGAGTTCTCTCTGACAACTCTCCTTCTCTTATAACGTACATTGTAGTCATCAATAAAGAAGGACAACTTTATGGATTTTGCAGCAACTTGGATGGATCCTGTGTTCACCCTACTCAGTGATCTATCACAGAAGCAAAGAACTGAGTACCACATGTTCTCACTCATAAGCGGAACTTGAACAATTATCAAAATACTACATGAAAGAGATTGGCAGTAGCTGGACACTGCCAGGGGAGGGGTGGGACACATAACATCAATAAGGGTACCTGATCCCAAACCAAGAGAAGTGAGGACCAATGGGAGGCCCAAACTTCACCTCTACGATGACCACTTATGTACCCAATCCTAAATTGTACCCCACATCTCTAAAATAAAATAAACAATAATAAAGCAGATTCTGCTGATTCTACCACCAAAGTATGCAAGAACTCTACCACATTTCACTACCTCCCTCACTAGCTATGTCCCTGCCTAAAATACCACCTCTTATTGCGTAGATGAATGAGTTAATTCCCTTACCAGATTCCCACTTCTGCTCTGACTTCCATTAGCCCATGCTCAACACAATGTCCAAAAAGATCCTCTGAAAACAGAATTCAGGTCTCACCATTCCTCTGCTAGAGTTATTAAAATGACCATTTTACTCTAAATGAAAATCAAACACTATAACTTCTTTCTCAGAATTCTACAATAGTAGGGTTTCTGGAATTCTTTCATCATAACAAATAGAACTGCTTTCCTGAAGCCACATTTCTTCAGTTCCTTGCACTTTCGCCTAAATGTTTTCACTTCACCATCATACCATGGATTATAATGCTGATCTCGGCTTTCTACACTTGATATAATAGCATAATCATTTTCCATGTACCATATCTTGTATATACATATATTTGAGACAGGGTCTCGCTCTGTTGCCCAGGGTGGAGTGTAGAGGTGGAGGTACTATTATGGTTCACTGCAGCTTCAACCTCCTGGGCTCCAACGATCCTCCCACTTCAGTCTTCCAAGTATCTGAGACTACAAGTGCATGGCGCCATGGCTGGCTAACTTTTTTTATAGAAACTAGGTCTCACTATGTTGCCCATGCTAGTCTCGAACTCCAGGCCTAAAGCAATCCTCCCACCTTGGCTTCCCAAAGTGCTGGGGTTACAGGCATGAGCCACTATGCCTGACCTATTTACCATATTTACAAATAAGTGACTACACTAAGAAGACAATCAACAACTACATGCCCTAATTTTGGATATTAAAATTATCCATCATTATAAATAGATATCTTTATGCATATAACTTTTAATTTATCTTGCATTAAAAATAAGACCAATTGTCAGACCAATTATGGGAACAAAGAGTACTAAGTTGCTTTACAAAAAGTTGTTGTATCAATTTTTATTGTCATACCACATATGGTTATATCAGTGGGTTACAACATCACAAGGCATTAAGCATCATAATTTACTAACTTAATCATTGAAATGTTGCTTTATCCTATTTTCAAGTTTTTCCATTGTTTGTTAGACTCGAATAAGTGTGACCCATAATATTTTTCTTTTGACCTGGTACATCAGAAAGCTCAAAGTTAGGATTGGTGTCCAATCTACTCTGCTAGTATAATTTTTTAATGGGTACACTGACATTCCTGTTTCATTACAATTCATTCGTTGGTCCATACGCTTTTACTTTTCTCCTAATGGTTTTACTGAATATTCAATTTTTTAAAAACTGTCTGAATCCTTCTTAGAATTGAGTAGATGTAAACACATGCTGTAGCTAGCACAATGTTACTGAAAATGCCTGTATAGGCAGTGTGTGGTGCTATGATATGAGCAAGGAAGAATTTTTGATATTTCAGGATTTGTACCTTAACTTGGGGTTTCTCAGGATTGGCACTGTTGACGTACTGGGTCAAATAATCCCTTGTTGTGAAGATCTTTCTGTGCTTGGTGTGATGTTTAGTGGCATCTCTGGCCTCAACTCACTAGAGAGCAGTCGTATACTCCCTATCTGTCCCCAGTATGACAACCAAAAATATGGCCAGACATTGACAAATATCCCCTAGGGAGCAAAACCACCCCCATCTTGATAGCTAGTACCTTAATAGAAGGCTTTGTCCCTAATGTAAGCCAAAGGTTATCTGGAAACACAAATCTAAGGCCTAATCTGAGAGCACACAGGTTCAAAGAAGCCCATCTTACAAAGCAACTCTGTGGGTGACCCACCACCTGCCAGTACAACTTTGACTTCTGCTTTTCACAGACCCAGAGCCTTGCTTCAGAAAATAAAAAAAAATCTTATCTTTCAGTCCATTTCTGGAATGAATTTGACTCTCTAAAACCCAACTTCTACACAATTCTTACTATAAACCAAATCATCAGGAAAAAAGTGTTTAAAATTAAACTTGAAAATATGTTATAAACTTAATCATTCTATCTCTGAAGACTAATTTTCAAACTTGTGTTAAGATACTTACTGTTAAAAAACTGGAACCATAAGAAGAATCTACAATAAAGAAGATTTAAGAGATATTACTTCAATCATCAATAAAAAAGCATTTGCTGAGAGCCTACTTAAAGTCAAATAGAGTATCATAGTATCCTGGCTCAAAAGCCAAATACACTAAAATTGAAGAATAAGTATGATTTCAGAAAACCATCACTGTCGATTTCCAAATCACACTGATATTAAGTAATTTCCTAGAAAAAAAATGTAACTAGTAATCCATTTTTTTAAAAAAGGACAAAAAGTGGAAGAGGAAAAAAGTGAAATTATAATTTTTCAGGTTATTTTTAAATTACATAGAACATAGAAAATTGTTCAAATAACAGCAAATTGAAAATCAAGTGGAGACTTCATCTCAAAAAATTTTAGCTCTTCCTTCAGTAGCATGTTAAAAACCTCATTTGAAAATTAAACTTTACAAAAGAAGGCCAGCCTAATTCAAGAACTCCATTTGGTGTTTGAAGCCATTCTAGTCTTTTGCTGCTACATGTTGGGTCCATTCGGAAATCTCCCTTCAGGGAGGCCACGGCAAGCCCTGCCCCACACTGGACAAAGGCACTATTTTCTCTCTTTGAAATAACACAGAAAGCATCTGCTCTGAGGATCTCTTTCTTCAGTTTTCTGCCAAACTCTTTATTTCATTTCCTCGTATACATTTCATGAAGAAAAAACTTTATATTAAAAAATGTGACACTGAATACTTCGATTATTAGATACAGCAAATTAAAAACAAAGGACAGCCAGTCAAATTTGGATTTCAGATTTGAAAACAATGATTAACTTTTTACTGAAAGTATATAACATCTGGGACATGCATGTATTTTAACTGAATGTCCTATAATTTATCAGACAGCCATGGCTGGGGTATGTAGGGTCAAAAAAGGAAGGTGGGGGCAGGACCACTGTGGCCAGCAGTTTACTCTGGAAGCTTGCAGTAAGTAGGCAGTGACTTGGGTTGTAAAGATGCGATTGGTTGCCTTTCTCCAAGGTGCAAACTCCTCCATCTGTAACTTAAACTCTCTAAGATCTATTCATTCTAACTTTTTCTATTATATAAGAAAGAGTTGAAGCCTTTTAAAATGTGGATTTTTTTCTAATGAATAGATATTAATTTTGTTCAGGCAATAATCTCCCCCAATAATCCAAAAGGTCTGTGATCAAAGCAAGTTAATTATTCAAGACCAGGATTAAAGAGTTACTAACAGAAAAAACTGACCCAAGTTTACAAGGAGGGAGGAGGAAAGGGATTAGGAGTGTGTGTGTGTGTGTGTGTGTGTGTATTTGGGAAAGGTGGGGACAGATTTTTAAAACAGAAGAAAAGAAAATGAAAAAGGAAGACAGCAAAAGAAGAAAGCGAAGGAGTAGGAAGAGTGGACAGAGGGGAACTGTGAAGACAAAGCAGAATGGGCCACAGACCTCTGAAGGATGTGTTTGTGCATGGCACAAGGTGGCTTCTTGGGGTGGGGGGGAGAGAGTCCAACCCTACCCTCCACGACTGGCCACAGGCGCTGGCCTCATTCATCAGAGAGTGAGCCTTTTCCTAGATCCCCAGTGAGAGCTTAATGTACTAAGGATTTTAAAATGTTCTCACGGTCTTCCTGGGAACTTTCCCTAAGCTGTGTCCAGGTAGGTATCATCACAGTCATGAGAGATTCACTTGCCTGGAGGCTTGGATCGTTGTACCCAAAGTTTTTGTAAGTTTTTTGCCTTGTCCATCATTCCATAAATTTCCTCGGCCAGGTCCTGTATCTCTTGGAAAAAGATCAGGTTGTTGATTTTTCTGTGGTCAGCTGCAGTTTGGAGCCTAGACAAACTTTAGATAAATAGAATAAATACTACAAATAGAACAAAAAGTTTCCTTGGCATTTTTGAGAGTCTTGATACTTGACCCCAAATTGTTTTCAGCTAAACATGTACCAACTTACACTCCCACCAATTACCTTTGAGAGCCCAATTTACCTGATCCTTATCCAATATGGAAATTTGGATTTTAAAAAAGCTTTGTAAATTTCAAAATATAAATTGTTCTAATTCACTGTGGTATCTGTAAAACGTAATCAATTTTATACGTTTTTTAGCCATTTCATTTTTTGTTTCATTTATTTAATACATATTATACAGCATGCCCTGTGCAAGGCCTTGGGAATAAATACATCAGTGAACAGCACAGACACAAAATCTACACGAAGAGAAAACAGAGGTAATTATGGGTGGAGATGGGGAGTGAGTGGATAAGTCTGTCAAAGAGAGGATGCTCATGGCAACCCTCTGAGAGGAGGCAATATTAAGATGAAACCTGACCAGGCTTGGTGGCTCAGCCTGTAATCCCAGCACTTTGGGAGACTGAGGTGAGTGGATTGCCTGAGCCTGCGGGTTTGAGACAAGCCCAGGCAACTCGGGGAGACCTCGTCTCTACAGTAAAATAAAAAATTAGCCAGGCATGGTAGCGCACACCTGTAGTTCCAGCTACTTGGAAGGCTGAGGCGGAAGGATCGCCAGAGCCCAGCAGCTGGACGCTAGGGTGGCCATGAGCGTGCCACTGCACTCCTGCCTGGACAATGGAGTGAGACTCCAACTCAAAAAAAAAAAAAAGATGAAACGTACTCATAAGCAGACCTTGAACAATTATCATAATACCATAAGAAAGGGATTGGCGGTAGTGGGAAACTGTTGGGGGTGACAGGGGGTGGACAGGATCGGCAGTAGTGGGAAACCGCCAGAGGAGGGGGGCACGCCTCATCCACAAGGGTACCTGCATAATGAACATTTGTGTACCTAACCCTGAACTGTACCCCACATCTTTAAAAGAAAAACTTACATAAACAAATTTTTAAAAATTTTGTAAAAGGATGAAACCTGAAAAATGAAATGGTTTGCATTGGGAGGAACTGGGGGTGTGTGTCCTAGGTAGAGAGAGAGAGCGTGTGCAAAGAGGCAGAAAAAGGTAGAAGTGCTGGCAGGGGGAGGACAAGGAGTGGGAAGAGGAAGGTTCCAGTGGATGGGGCCAGAAGACACCAAGCTGGTCAGCCATGGGAAAAACTCCATTGGGCAGCAGGAGCAGTGGGGAACCTAGACAGATTTCGCCAGGGGCAATACGGCATGATTCCAATTCTAAAGGAGCCCTCTGGCAATGTGCAAGAATCAGTTACTATCATCTATCACATTCATAGGCTAAAAAGGAAAAACCACATGATTGCATTGACAATGGAGAAAAATCATATGATAAAATCCCACTCTCACTCATGATAAAAAGCCTTCTGTAAAGAAGAAATAGAGGAAGTCTTCCTCACCTTGATAAATAATCTACGAAAAAACCCTATAGCTAACCCATATCATGCTTAATAATGAGAACCCCAAAGCTTCCTCATTAATAAAATCAGGAACGAGGCAAGAGTGTCCCCTCTTACCACTGCTTTTCTACATTGTACCAGAAGTCCTAGCTGATGCAATAAGGAAAGCAAAGGAAATAAAAGTTATACAGCTTGAGAACAAAAAAATAAATAAATATCTTTGTTCACAGATGACATGATTTTGAAAGAGTTGATAAAACAGCTCCTGAAACTAATACGTGATTACAGGAAGGTTGCAGGATACTGGGCTAAAATACGAAAGTCAATTAGCTTTCCCATGCACCAGCAATGAACAAGTGAAATTTGACATAAAGGAGCCCTCTGGCTGCAGGCTGAAGACAGGATTCAAGAGGACAAGGGTGGGAAAGGGGTTACCGGTAAAGGTGGTTTAGGAGAAAGAAGAAGGCAGACAAACTCAAATCCACTTTGGACACCGACTGAGAGGACATCTGATGAATTGAATGTGGGGTTTATTTATCATGTCATTCATTTTCTGTCCCGATGTGCTGACATCTTGGGGCTTTGCTGGCTCTGGAGGCTCCTTTCAGGGTTAGCCAGTTCCTAGAGATCGTAAATCACTCGCCAGTCACTTCCATTTCCACATGTCTTTCTACACCTGATTATGACAAGGACCTTTAAAGAGAAGAAATGGAGGAGGACTTCAGGGTACCAGGAGGAGTAATCAGTAGCTGGTGGCTTTTCCTCATGAGAGGAGGACAGTTATGCAAGGTGGAAATATAGGAATCAGTGAAACTCAAGCTGGCAAAGCCCACCAGACACCCAGAGAAGTCAGAGAGCCTTTTGCTGGTGAGTCTGGGGTTCAGAAAGACAGGCTTCAGTGTATTGGATAACCAAGGCCTTTATTCATTTTTCTGTGGGAATGTCTATTGCCTTCTTCATTTATATTTTAACATAGCATCTCTTTATCATGTTTGTAAAAAATGTTTTCTCCGGTTTTTAAAAATTTTCCTTTAATTTTATTATAACTTTGAGTACTTTTGCTACTAGAAGAAAATACTAGGCATAAAATTAATAATAAGATTAATGATGAGCAGACAAAAATACTAGAAACCATACCAATGTCCAATTTTAGGAGAAAAGTTAAATAAGTAACTGTATGGGGTTTTTTTACATAGGGGCTTTGCAGCAACCTGGATGGATTTAGAGTCTATCATACTCAGTGATCTATCACAGAAATAAAGAACAGAGTACCATATGTTCTCACTCATAAGCAGACTTTGAACAATTATCATAATACTATAAGAAAGGGATTGGCAGTAGTGGGAAACTGTCCCCCTGGGGGGAGGGGGCGGGATTGGCAGTTGAGGGAAACTACTAGGGGAGGGAGGGGCACACCTCATCAAGGATACCTGCATAATGGACATTTGTAAACCTAACACTGAATTGTACTCCATATCTTTAAAATTAAATTAAATTAAAATTTAAAAAAAGAAAAGATTTCTTTTGCTTTTAAAAATGGGACTTCTGGAAATTTATTCTGCTAGAGGTAGTCAGACGAGTGTGCTGACAGACCACCCAGGAAATTTGTGAAAAATACAGTCTCTCAGGTGCCATCTCCCACTAACTCCCATTCACCAGGTCTAGAGGCTGACCCAGGAATCTGCATTTTAATCCACACCTCCTAATAATTCTGACACAGATGATTCACAGACTAACTCAACGTGAGAAAATTTGGACTCTGTAATTCTAATTAAAAAATGATGATAAAGTTGCTATGTTTTTCCTGATCTTATAAATATCATGTATGGGAAAATTTTGTTTTACTAGTAAATAAGAGAAAACATTCTCATGAACTTGGAAATCAAGACTGTGTATCCTGTCTACATTTAATCTCCAATTCAGTGGGAATTCATTGTTAATCATTAAAAACTACTGAATGGAAATAAAGTATGAAACCATGTCACAAGTTGCTGAAAGCTTGTTAAAATAAGTGTCCAATTAAATTTAGCATATCCAAAAAGAAAAAAAAATGTAAAATTGAAGGAAATTTTTCCTGATTAGAAATTATAGAACCTTTTCGTTTGTTTCTAATCCTGTGTTTTTATTTTACAAATTAGAGAACACTGTGAAAATGAATTAACAGTTGTCAACACATAAATCTATCCTGACATTACAAAGCTTATGTGACAAAGTTGCAGTAAATCTCTTCCACAAACATTGTCACTTCATTCTCACAACCTATAATGAAGCCAGAACAGGCTCATTTACTGATGAATAAAATAAATTAAATGACTTTCAGGTCACAGTCACTTAGAGAAGTGGAAACAAGACTCAGACAATCAAAGTGAATTTGCTAAAAGCAAGCAAACTCTTTGCAGTAAAGCCAGGGCCTGAGTGCAGAGAGCTGAGTGCTGACTCCGGCGACCTTCCACTCCAGATGGCTGCCAGGTTGGATGGAATTCTCACTTTCTAAAGTGTGGCCGACTTCAGAGGGTCAGAATTCCAAAAAACACAAGATATCAGCTAACACTTCTCTGTTGAGGCCTTGAGTTACCGGCTAAAACTGACCTCTAAAAGCTGTGAACCGTGATTCAAGCTCTCCTACCACACCAAAATATGAGACTTTCCTGGGAAACCACAGAATTATAGATTATATTACACAATAGGGAGATTATAATTATACAGATTATAGAGATGAATGTAATTCAAGACGAGTTTCCCCTGTAATAATGAACTGGTTTTATGTTCTTTTTTTTTTTAACGATTATTTCAAAAGTACTTCATTCTGTCCTTAAAGACCAGATTATGATTTATCATTAACATGAGAAATGTTTAAAGCAAAAAAATAAATTAAAAATCCTTGATTAAATGTTAATTTCCATGTGTGTGAAAGAGAGAGAGAATTCCAGAGCACAAGGAAAATCCCAGTACTATGGTTGGATTTGGGTAGAAAGCAATTTCCTCTTTACCGAGTACAGTTTTATTGTTTATTTTCTATTCTTTGAGTCAGAGCCTCACTCTGTCACCCAGGGTGAAAAGCAGTGGCACAATTATGGCTCACCACAGCCTCCACCTCCTGGGTTAGGCAATACTCCCACCTCAGCCCACTGAGTAGCTGGGACTACAGGTGCACACCACCACGCCTGGCTAATTTAAAAAATTTTTTTTGTAGAGACAGTGTCTTGTTATGTTGCCCAAACTGGCCTCAAACTCCTGAGCTCAAGTAATCTTCCCACTTCCGAAGTGCTGTAAAAAGACATGAGCCACCATGCCTGGCCCTGAGTACAATTTTTTATTTAGATTTTTATCACATAATGTTTGGCCTTGCCAGGGCAGGGAGGGACTTCTGGAAGGTAGGGGACACAGAAGATAGAATGTAGGAAGACAAGAGAAGGCCACTTTGCAGAGATGACTGAACTTCTTTCCCAGTTCTCAGACTGGCACTGGCTCCGAGAATCGTCCCCCCAGAGGGCCAGGAACCAAATGCTGCACCTAGAGACAC